AATACCCTGTATATAAATGATTGCAAATGGAATGTGAAAATTGAATAAAATATATTTAAAAAAAAAAAAAATTAGCCCTAATTAAGACCCCGCCCACCCCAGGTTGCAGTGGTGGGGCGAGGCACATAGGTAGAAAATAAGCTAAGGTGGGGGTGGGGGGTTGGAGCTGCCCTCCTTACCAGGCCTCACACACCGACACCTGCCTTACCTTCTTCTGTGGCCACTTGCCGCCACTCGCATGCATTATCCTGGCCTCCGTTTCGGCTTCCAATGCCTGCCAGAAGGCCAAGAAGCAGCCAATAGTAGAGCTCCATTATCAAAGGTGATGCGTGCAAGCAGCCGCAGAAGAAGTCGGCCAGCCGCAAGCTCCTGTCGGTGCCACCGGTGCAAGGTGCGTCAATAATTATAACCCTCCAAAAAGAAGGCCTAGCCATTTTTTCAGGGGGGGGGTGTCAAAAGGAATACGGTAGCTTTCAAATTTTAAAGAACTGCCCTCTCTCCAGAGAATATTGAAAATTAGCCAGATTAACAGCATAATGAGTAAGCAAATCAAAGAAGGGAAATAATGAGCCTAGCTTGACTACCAAGGCAGGGCAAGGACTTCCTCTTGTGAGCTACTCTTGTCTCTCTCTCACCCAGCAGCAGCTCAGAGGGATCCTGCAAACTATTCCAGAGTCAAAGATGCAATGAGAGGAACTACTATGATAACCCTGCCCCAACCAGCATTGTAGGCAAGAATAATAGCGAGTTCACATAGCTAAAGTCTTCCCAGGCTGGGGAAGACTGTACTGGTGATGGAATAGCCCTGGCCCATCCCAGGCCTTCCAACGGAAGAGGCCTGCTGCGGATCCTATCAGCCCAGGAATGAAGACACTCTTCCACATGGAGACATTCTGCTGACGGGAGTGAGGTCAACCCACCACCCTGAAGACCTGGTTCTGCCGGCTGGCCTGGGCGCCAATGGAGACACGTCAGGCTGGAAGTGGTTGGTTTGGGGACAGAAGGTACCACTCCTGTTCCATGGGAGCCCCTGGAGTTGCTTTTACTCCTTTTACTCTATGTATGTCTTGTAATTTTAGCTATTTCCGTATTTCTAACTGAATGTTATGTTATTCTACTGCATTGTAACCTGCCCAGAGTTGCTCTCGACAGACGGCATACACATTTCATAAATAAAATAAATGTAGCATCCCAGACCTACTATACCCCATCTGCCAAAGGAACCAGCCACCTGTATCAAGGCCCTACTATAAGCAGAGAAGATGGTCCTGATGGAAATACACAGGACCCGTTACTTAGGCAGAAGTTACTGAAATATTTTCAAAGTCCAGGACGAGACAACACACGGAGGAAGTGACTCAGGCAGTCACCTTTAAATCACAGGAGGAGGGGGAACTACAGCACCAAGATTGCTGTCAGCCGCACTTAGGAAATCAACTCCACCAGAAGGCTAAATCTCTTGTTTATTGAGACTGGCTCAATAAATATGGCAAATATTACAAGACTGATTATGCTGTGCCTTCTCCTTTCTAGAGTTCAGTGCATTAAGGAAGCAGCTGCCTCTTCTTTCTTACTTTCTAGCGTCAATCTTAGGGGTCAGCTGGAGTCACAGACCTGTAATATTCTTGAGCTCCATCAGAATCACAGAAGTGGCAGAAATAGTGGTCTCTCCTCAGGTGCTTTAGTAACTCATCATTATCCAAATATCGCTCGTCACAAAATTTACACAAGGGGTGCCCCCGGTGAGATGTGTCGTCGGGATCTCCGTGGATTCTGTGCCGAGCAAGATCCTTGCGGGAATACCACTTGCGCTCGTATGTAAAGATCTGGAAGGTTAAGAGGGAACGGCCTTCATGTTTTCAGTAGAAACGAATCCCCCCCTCAGCCCCTCCCCCTGCCTCACTCCCCCCCCCGCCTGCCTCCCTCCCCCCCCACGCTTGCCTTCAGGTGCTTCCCGCAGAGCTTGCCGCAAAAGAGCTCATGCTGCTTCCTCATGTGCTGCTCCAGGTCCACAATGGTGGGAAAAGCCCGGGAGTCCGTGCACAGAGGGCATTCGTGTTGCAGGAGTTTCCTAGGAGGGGAAAAACACACATGAGGGACAAGAACCACATGCTGCAGGATGCTTCAGCCACTGATACCAGTTCTCACACAGGAGCATCTCCTGGAAAATTCATTCATTCCATCCAGTCTCCAGACAATTTTCAAATGTGGCTGGTATGAAAATCATTGTCGTTCCTTTGCTGACCAGCCAGTGTGCCTGTATTACCCTAAGAAAGGAAGCTACAGAACATTTACCTATAGAGAGCATAAATCTTTCCATCAGTAAAATAGATGTCATATTTCTTCTCATGTTGTAACTGGCTGAGTATGATTGTTGAAAAGGCTGGCAGTTTCTTCCCAAAAACCACCTGTGGGGAGAGAAGCAGGAAGAGGTAAGGAACACAGAATGTCCAGGCCCCAAACAGCTTGCGGCACAAGGAGGCTCCAGAGGGCACCTCTGAGAGAGAATTAATATTTCCAAGAGAGATCATCATCCAGATAATTCCCAAGAGAGATCATCATCCAGAGGAAGAATATAGGGAACTCAAATCCCTAATAATTGCCATCCTAATCTATCCTGCACATTGCGGGAGGAAAAACAAAACTGAACAGGCTCACAGTACACATTTCTCTCAAGAGGCCCAGAAGAATAGAAGCGGTGGTCTCACTGGGCTTAGCTATTTAATACACAGGCATCTTGAAAAGTTCAACTTTGGATTTCAGTGAATTAGAGGTTTGTCTCATGGCTGCAATAAGGTTAAACGTGGGCAGTCGTTGTTGAAAAAGCACAGAGCAAATAAGTTCTCACACTTTCCAGCAACATATGGGAAAACTGCCACTATCAGCATAGAATAACCTAGTTGGAAGGGACCTTGGAGGTCTTTCTAGTCCAGTCCCTTGCTCAAGTAGGAGAAATGGCTGTCCAGTCTCTTCTTAAAAACCTCCAGTTCTTCTGAAGGCAACCCCTTCCACTGATTAATTGTTCTCACAATTAATTAATGAATCTCACAAGTAATTGTTAGGAAATTTCTCCTTAGTTTCCATCCATTGATTCTTGTCCTGCTTTCAGGTGTTTTGGAGAATAAGGGGCTGCCTCTTCTTTGTGGCAGCCCCTCAAATACTGGAAGACTGCTATCATGTCACCCCTTGTCCTTCTTTTCACTAGACAGACCCAATCCCTGAAACTCTTCTTCATATGTTTTAGCCTCCATCCCCTTAATTATCGTTGTTGCTCTTCCTTGCACACTTTCTGGAATCTCAACATCTTTTTTATATTGTGGTGACCAAAACTGGACACAGTGTTCCAAGTGTGGTCTTACCAAGACCTTATAAAGAGATACTACTGCTTCTTGTGTTCTTGATGCTATCCCTCTGTCTTCAAGGCTGGGAGCGTGAGAATGGAAGTTTCTTTTTGAGCTCTTCTCTACCGGAAATAGAAAAGACGTAATCACTTTCTATTTCCCACCCTCTGATTCCAAGCACTTTTCTTGATGAAGGCCTGGAGAGTGACTCATCCCTGCCTTTTGTGCAAAGGAACTGTCCATGTTTCCATCACGTGGAAAGGCAGAGGACAATTCTACTTCTTGGAGAAAGGCCACTCTGCAGGCAACTTTCCCATTTGCCTTCTGCAACAGATTTTGTGGAAGGAATGGATGCCCTGCCTGGCCCTAACAGATGTGAGGTTGTGTGGGTTGTATGCAGCCCATTCCCTTATAATCTCATTTTCCCAAAACTGTGTTGCCCCCCCCAACATTAAATTATGATTTAGAGAGTTCATGAATGTCCCCCAGCAGTTCCCTTCACCTCGGCCTCAGAACTGTCCTGAATAAATCCAGCCACAAGCAAGCCAAGATGAGTCCACAAGGCAATGGCAGGTAGTCCATAAAACAATAGACAGTTGCTCCAACAAGTCCACCAAACAAACTTAAATCCACCAGGCAAAACCAAAAGGACACCCACAAGAGCTCAGTTGGCAAGAGAAGTTCAATCTCCAAGGCACTAAGTGAGGCAGGAATAAACACACAGCGCGATAAACCCAACATGTTGTTCCCAGCAATGCCTCCCTCTGCCCACCGCGATAAATAGCTTTCCGATGTAGCCCATCAAGATGGGCAGGGCTGCACTGGAGTAATCTGGCAAATCTCTGTTGCCCTTGTCTTTTCTCTGCCCTGTATGCTCTCGGATCCACCATGGAAGGCAGCTCCACTTCCTCCTCCTCTTCACTGACCTGCAAGCTGTCCCCAGCCGAATCCTCCTGTGAAGTGTCCCACAAATCTCTTTCAACTGGCAGTTACAGAGTCATTAATTAACCCAGTTCTTGATGTGCCAGGAATGAGCTCATCCACCCTCCAAGGAAGAGTCAGAGGAATTATCCAAGGGAGAGAATCACACTAACTCAATGAAGACTCATACACCTCAGGTTAGCAACAACAAAAATCATATAACAACCGCACTCAACGTGTAGTCCTCAATGGAACTGCATCTACATGGAGGGAAGTATGCAGTGGAGTAGCCCAAGGCTCTGTTTTAGGCCCAG